GATTTAGCTTTACTTAACCTAGTTTTCGCCTATTCTTACTCCCTTTTAATAGATTAGTAAGAGGTAGAGCGATATAGGAGTAATCCCTAATAAATCTACGGTAGAAGTTACAGAATCCTAGGAAAACCTAGATATCTCTATATAATTTTAGTAATTCCTATAAAATAATATTAGTAACTCGGCTAGGGTCTATCGATATACCTTTTAGGGATACAATAAAACTAAGAAATTCAACTTATTCCGTATAGAACGTGTACTTACTAAGTTTCGTATATAGTCCTCTATCTCGTAATCGCTGAAGGACCTCTTATAGGTGATTTATATACGTAGTATAGTTAGGTAAAAAGACTAAGATATTATCAAGATAGGCTACCGTATAGGTGTCGAGAAGCCTATATAATATAGTATAAATATAATTCTGAAAGGTTATAGGCGTATTAGTTAGGCCGAAAGGTATAACCGTATATTCAAAGTGCCTATAGCGTATACGGAAGGCGGTTTTCTATTTATCTCTTTCCTTAATACGGATACGATAGTAAGTATCCTAGATATTAATCTTACTAAAGATCTTCGATCTAGTAAGCCGGTCTAAAATCTCCGAAATTAGGGGTAAAGGGTAACGATTCTTAATCGAAACCTTATTAAGACCTCGGTAGTCGATATAAAGGCGTAGTCCTCTATCTATTTTAGGGATAAATAGGATAGGAGCTCCTATAGGGCTTTTTAATTCGCGGATCCGGCTATTCTTAAGGTTTTCGTCGATATATTAGCGTAGTTCCGTAAGCTCTTTTTACGATAAGGGGTAGATAGGGCTATACGGTACCTTAGTGTCGGGAAGAAGATTAATTATATAGTCGTATTCGCTTAATAAAGGTAGGGTCTTCGAATTCTATAAGGAGAAGATATTATAAAAGTCTATAAGTTCGTTTAGGAGTCGGTAGGGGTCCGGTATAGGTTCGTTTTCGTCGCGATCTATTAGTAGCTATATTTCTTTAGGTATCTTGACTATAGCAAAGACGTATACGTGATTCCTAGTTACCTTATTAAATTGTTCCGGCGAGAGTATCTTAACCGAAGAGATTCCGAACTACTAAAGACCGCTTCTTCCTATAAGGTAGATATTAAGGTCGTAGATAGTAGTTATCGATAGGAGTAGTAGGCTCCCGCTAAGTTGTAGGTCTTAGTTAATCGCTATATATACGCGGTTAAATCGGCGGGTTATCTCCCTTAAATCGGTAGTAGTTAGTAGGACGTTCTATACGCCGTAGATAGGTATTCTATATTAGTTGACTATATAAATTAGGGGCTTAGTAAGCTTAGTCGCTTCTAACTAATAGGTTTTAACGAATATATAGCTAATAAGATCAACTTCTGCTCTACTATCTAGATCCGCGTAGGTTTCGATATCGTTTCGGATAGTAATCGAAATATAAAATCGAGTTCGGGTCCCTACTAAGGGAGATAGAGATAAAGGCGTAGGGTCTACTCCGTCTCTAGGACTTTTCCCTACTATACTATCTAAATTATTGCTAGTTTAGAGTCTTAAGCTCTAGGGTAGTAGGGTAAGTAGTACTCTTCGCTTCCGTATTTAAAATATCGGGTTCGTTTTCCGTCTTCCCTAATACGATTAAGTCTTCCTCGTAGAGGTAATCCTTTAGATTTATCGTTTCGGGTTCTCTTATCTCGGGAATCTTCTTTTTTAACCGTAGATTTATAGACCGCGGAAGATATTAATTATTTTCGTAAGGGTTTCGTTAAGTTATTAGTTCGTTTCCTTTTACGTATCTATTCTAATTTTTCTAGATCCTAGAAGTAGTAGGTAATATTAATTATATCTTCGCGGGATTCTAGAAGTTTAATCACGTATCGCCGAATAGTTGTTTATAGGTCGTACTATAGCTTAGCAAAGTAGGAAAGTGCTCTTTCTTTCTTAGCCGACCGTGGAAAATACTATTCGAGAGTATCTAGTCGTATATAGAACTCTCTAGGATCCTTATCTCTTCGCTAAAAAACCTTTTCTAGCTATCCTATTACTTCTAATTCTAAGCTTATAGCGTTTTTAATTAGAGTAAGGGTCTACTCCTCGAAGTAGGGCTAATCTTCCTTTATATTTCGTTAGGAGGTCGGAGCCTTTTCTTCGATATATCGATACTATCTCTACCTATATATTTAATCTATATAGCTAATCGCTCCTAGGATCCGAGTTCGGTCGTTGTGATATTTCTTAGGGGCTCCTTTAAATATTTATTATAGGTTAAGGAGCTACTCCTAACGTTATTAAAGTAAGGAATTAAGTATAAATTTTAGAAGGTCTTTAAATTTAATTTCCCCGTCTAAGGATTCGTAGGGGTTTCGGCTAGGATTTATAGAGGATTCTTAATTACTCCGTAGTATAATCTAAGATTTTAGAATCTCTACTTACTCCTATAGTTCTTTAAGCTTCTATAGTTTTTCAATAGTATCTTAGGTTACTTAGAGTCTAGTATTAAGGTCAGTCGGTACTATCTGTTACTCGGTAGATAGGCTTAGAGGGTTAGCCGTTTCTTCCGTCGAAGGAGTAGAGCGAGTTCTTAGCGCTATCTTCCTAGGTAATCGAAAATAGAAGAAATAGAAATTATTAGAGAATAACTACTTATACAGGGTAGAAAGCCTGTCGACTAGGTAGGAAGATAAACGTTAAGTAAGGAAAGTAAAACACTATTTCTTACTATTATAGATCTCTCTATAATCCTCAATTTATATATAAGCTTTAACACTTTTCCTATATAACCAAGCAAAGACGATAGATCACATTATAACATACGGTCTGACGTAGCCCCTATGTGTCAGAGATAAGCAAAGGCTACAGAGAAGAGGGGTCCACGAATCCCTAATAGAAGGGCACCGAACCCTTAGGGTCTTGTAGGTTATGCATCCTTGTTAGGGAGACGTGGGGCTGTCATGACGAAGCCTGACCGATAAGGTGTCGAGTTAACACCTGAGGCGTGAAGTTGGGAATAGCTTCATGTTGCAATATCATATGACACAACAGTAGACATCAATCGTGAGACATTAGCAGTTAAACCTCAACGGGTAAGGATCAACAATAAACATCAATAGGTAAACACAAAAGGCAAACACCAAAAGTTCAGACATCCAAGTCAACAATCAACTATAGGATATAATTGTTTGCCTAAACTTTGACCGAGCTTGCTTGGAAAGTCGACTTCCTAGAATCCTATATTCTAGCACTCCAGGAAACCTCTTCACCAATCACTATTCACAAAAGCTTTGCTAGCACTGACTTAGTTTCGTTGGGTGCTGACCGAGTCCTACAGTATCAAATCTTAATGCAGTATGGATCGAAATCAGATTCACCACCTTCACACAGATTCTTTCCCAATGCCTCTCTTGAAACTGCGCTATACCTATTATAGTTAACCGACCCTCGAACCTTTTCTTAGTAGTATTCTCATTCGGCTATGAAAAAAAGCTTAAAAACAGCATCCGTAATATTTTGACATAGTCTCGAGGGCTTCTTGAACGTTGATGATGCAAATAAGGCAAACAGAAGACATGCATTATTAGGAATACGGGTGCGGAACTACTGTAATGCCCAGGTTCACCTTCTATGCTACCCCGCTGCGGGGCAGCAAAAGCAGGTAAAATCTTAAAAGCTTCCCTTTTCCCATTTTTCTCAAATCCCCACCCTAAACTCAAATAATCCCAAAATTGTATAGTAAGTGCTGTATATCCCGATCGACTTCGATCTTATCCTTAAATAACACGAAAAATATGTTTTAAAAGTCGAAATCAGGATATACTACAGGGAGGATCGAAATCAGTTTCACCATTTGCACATAGAGATTCTTTCTCGGACCCTCTCTTGAAACCCACTATCCTATTTAGAGTTAACCTACCCCTGACCCCCTTTCTTGGCAGTATTCCGATACGGTTGTAAATTACAACCTGAACTAGCTTGTGTATTTAGCCTGTATAGTCCCAAGGGCTTCTACAGTAGAACGTTGATCCCGCAAACGAGGCAAACAGAAGGTGCCTGCTCCAAAGTTTCGAACCAACGAAGGTTATTACTGACGTTGATGATTGAACTTTTACTATAAAGACTACTATTTCGTCCAAATACATTCCGGGCTTTTCGAAGAGACGATCGCACAAGGCTTGGAGCATCGAGGGAGTTATGCTTGGTCGGCGGCCGACGCGAGTTGGGGGCGTCCTGACATTTCCGAATCGGCGAAGGTTGTTGCTGATGTTGATGGCCGAACGTTTACAGTACTACATTCGGCAGCTTTGGCTATTTGCGAGGTGGTAAGTGAACTGCTTGATATCATGTCTCGGATCATTTCAAGTTTGGATCTGGGGAGCCTTGGTGCCAATGTGCGGGGAGGGACCTGGACGATGAAGAAAACGTAGAATAGGGAGCAGTCAGTGACCGCAGGGGGCCGGTAGCGAACCCATCTAACTATTGTTCACCATTGTTCACCGTTGCTCACCCTCCGTGAGCAGGTGAAAAGGTTCTGAGTGGGAAAGACCTGGGGGCCTGCTGGGTATTAGGAAATGCACGTGACTTGACGATCTCGAAATCTCTGGGAGCTTGGTAGTCCCTCGCAAAGCTGCGGGCTCACAAAAAGGTGGGTGAAAGAATCGATTACCAGTTTAACCACCGCAACAAGTGATTGTGACCTGAAGTGGCTCATTATGTGTGTTTAGAAGAGCTACAGTACATGGTGTAGCCTCTTGAGATCTTGAGGTCAAAGCTGCATATTTATCTGAACGGATCTGGTTGTTGCCGCCGGCTGTGCTTGATCGAACTCGGCTCGTTCCGTTCCTAGGAACAGGTGTTGCTGGACCCCACCCATGGCCCGCCATACGCAGCCACTTGATTTTCTCGGCTTAGCGCCTGGGAGTCACTTGGCCAGAAACAAAGTACGTGCCCCTCCTTCAGCTGAGAAGCAGACTGTCATTACTATCACGAATATCAGGAGACATTCAGCTATTTAATCATGGCAACGACACATGATTCGGGCGTCAACTATGGGGCACAGGTTGGGAACAACTATGGCATATTCAACGCGGAATTTCATGCCGCTCCAGGTGCGTCAGGAAACGACGAGCAGAGCCGACCGACTAACCACTGCTTCCTACCTTAGAGCGACCAGAAACCCCACCCGACCCTTTATCGACCATACCATTCGCGCGCGACCAGGATTTTGTCAAGCGGGACACACTGCTTCATCAGATACGTGAGAAGAACTCGGTGCCAGGATCGAGGATAGCTCTGGTCGGGCTCGGCGGTGTAGGGTGAGTGTGACAGGACCAGTACATAGTCGATAACTCACAACTTGAAGAAAATCACAGCTCGCCATCGAATATTCATATCAGATCCGATCTGAATCACCGACGACATGGGTCTTTTGGATCCACGCGAGCAATCAGGCCCGCCTCGAGCAAAGTTTCCGAGACATCGCAAACCAGGTTAAGATCTCGGGCCGTCGGGAACCCAAAGCCAACATATTCGAACTGGTCGAAAACTGGCTGCGGGATGAGAAGAAAGGGAAGTGGGTTTGTGTGCTTGATAATGCAGATGACTATGAATTCCTCTGTTTGCCCCAAACTGTCGCGAATCCCGCTCATGCGATAGAACCAACGTATGTCCCAGTGAAGCCACTTCTGGAATATATTCCTAGAGGCCGCAATGGGTCTGTCATTATTACCAGTCGGAGCAGAGAGGTTGTGCTTAAAATGGTAAAGGAGAATGACTTAATTGAGGTTACACCGATGGAACCGTGCGAGGCGCTAGAGCTTTTCCACAAAAGGCTTGGACGACCAAAAGAAAGCGAAGAGAGTCGTAGACTGGTGGAAGAGCTTGAGTTCATACCACTCGCGATCATCCAGGCGGCTAGCTATATAAGAGCGAGAGCCCCTCGCTATTCGGTATCACAATACCTTCAAGACTTCCAATCAAGTGACCGCGGAGCGACCAAGCTTCTTGAGAGAGAGGCCAATTGCCTCGACCGGGATTCAGAAGCCAAGAACTCAATTCTTGTGACCTGGCAAATATCATTCAACTACCTTCGCTGCAAAAAGACATCTGCTGCAGACCTACTCTCCCTTATGTGCTTTTTCGATCGACAGGAGATACCAGAGAACCTTCTTCAGGTTGACCCTAAGGCTACCTACACTACTGCTTCCAATCTCTATGAAGAATCCAGCGATGGAGAGTCAACCGAATCTGAGCAAGGACCCGATTTTGAAGATGATATTATAACATTGAGGAACTTTTCATTTATATCCCCTAGTGAGACCGGGACTTTCTTCACTATGCATCGGCTAGTGCAACTTACTACGCGTGCATGGCTGAAGTCTCATAGGCACATAAATCTATGGAGAGAACGATTTATCAGCATATTATACCAGGAGTTCCCTACTGGTCAATATGAAAATTGGGGGAAATGCGGATGGCTATTTCCCCACGTTCGATCAGCGGTGTGTGAACAACCGAAATCAGAACGGTCTCTATTACAATGGGCGGCGCTCCTTTATAGAGGTGCATGGTACGCTTTGGAGAGCGGCAGCATGGTAGACGCGAGGAATATGGCATCCAAGTCAAGAAAGCAGAGGGTGAAATTGCTAGGATGGGAGCATGAAGAAGCTATTGAAAGCACAGCAATGCTAGCCGAAGTATACTCACTCGACGGCGCGTGGGATGAGGCCGAGCAGCTCCAGATACCGGTTATGGAGACTCGCACGACGAAGCTCGGCGTGGACCATCCCTCCACGCTGACGAGCATGGCCAACCTCGCGTCGACGTACAGGAATCAAGGCCGGTGGGAAGAAGCCGAGCAGCTCGAGGTGCAGGTCATAGAGACTCGTAAGACGAAGCTCGGTGTGGCCCATCCCTCTACGCTGACGAGCATGGCCAACCTCGCGTCGACGTTTTGGAATCAAGGCCGGTGGGATAAGGCCGAGCAGCTCGAGGTGCAGGTTATGGAGACAAGTAAGACGAAGCTCGGTGTGGACCATCCCTTCACGCTGACGAGCATGGCCAACCTCGCGTCGACGTATAGGAATCAAGGCCGGTGGGAAGAAGCCGAGCAGCTCGAGGTGCAGGTCATAGAGACAAGCAAGACGAAGCTCGGCGTGGATCATCCTGATACGCTGACGAGTATAGCCAATCTCGCGTCGACGTACAGGAATCAAGGCCGGTGGGAAGAGGCCGAGCAGCTCTTTGTGTAGGTTATAGAGACAAGTAAGACGAAGCTCGGTGTGGACCATCCTGACACGTTGACGAGCATAGCCAACCTCGCGTCGACGTTTTGGAATCAAGGCCGGTGGGAAGAGGCCGAGCAGCTCTTTGTGCAGGTTATAGATACTCGTAAGACGAAGCTCGGTGTGGACCATCCTGACACGCTGACGAGCATGGCCAACCTCGCGTCGACGTATAAAAACCAAGGCCGGTGGGATAAGGCCGAGCAGCTCGAGGTGCAGGTCATAGAGGCAAGTAAGACGAAGCTCGGTGTGGCCCATCCCTCCACGCTGACGAGCATAGCCAACCTCGCGTCGACGTACATGAACCAAGGCCGGTGGGAAGAGGCCGAGCAGCTCTTTGTGCAGGTCATAGAGACAAGTAAGACGAAGCTCGGTGTAGCCCATCCCTCCACGCTGACGAGCATAGCCAACCTCGCGTCGACGTACATGAACCAAGGCCGGTGGGAAGAGGCCGAGCAGCTCGAGGTGCAGGTCATAGAGACTCGTAAGACGAAGCTCGGTGTGGACCATCCCGACACGTTGACGAGCATAGCCAACCTCGCGTCGACGTTTTGGAATCAAGGCCGGTGGGAAGAAGCCGAGCAGCTCTTTGTGCAGGTTATGGAGACTCGTAAGACGAAGCTCGGTGTGGACCATCCCTCTACGCTGACGAGCATGGCCAACCTCGCGTCGACGTTTTGGAATCAAGGCCGGTGGGATAAGGCCGAGCAGCTCGAGGTGCAGGTTATGGAGACAAGTAAGACGAAGCTCGGTGTGGACCATCCCTTCACGCTGACGAGTATGGCAAACCTTGCGTTCACACTGAAATCTTTACGACGTAATGCCGATGCTATCGAATTACTACAAACCTGTCTACCGAGGCAGGAAGAGATACTAGGGATGAATCACCCGCAGACTCTATCTAATTCTGCCACGTTGCTAGAATGGGAAACAGAGGTGCTGGATGTTAATGTTTAAGCCCAACACATGCTTGAAGACAATAATTTACCTACTATTCCGTTTGCCAGTTTCTACAATTACGGCATGAAATTTCTCATTAAGCTAAGACTAGATAGTGTTTGTTGCCTATGGTAACAGTTGCGGGATCACATATGAAAGCCGATGAAGAATGGCGTCATATGCTGTATTTTTGGTAATACTCTTTCTAGTTATTCATAACATCCAATTCATATATTACGGCCTTACGCTTCGTTACGTCCCCTTGAAACATTGCCAAGCCATATCCAGACTAGAGCGATCCACAGTGGGCCTTGAGACAGAACCTCTGTGTTCAAGTAGTGAATCTGATTTCGACCCCTGCTGTATCACAAAACTATAAGTCAACTTCCAAAGAAAATCATGGATCAACGATCTTTAGACCGTCAGTTATATGAGGCTTCTGAGAGGGAGGATTTGGAATTGACTAGAGCACTCCTAGACCAAGGAGCAAACCCTAATGCTGGAGGGTTCTCCTGGTATGGCTGCGCACTTCAGGCGGCTGCTCGACGCACGAGTGTGGAGCTGGTACAGTTGCTCCTAGATCGAGGCGCAGATATAAACACAGCTGGCGGCTATCATGGTAGCGCATTGCTAGGAGCCGCTCAATATGGGAACACAGAGATAGTGATTTTGTTGATGAATGCCGGTGCGAACCTGAACGAACGTGGGCAATATGGCACTGCACTAGCTGTAGCACGGGACAAACAATTTGAAGATGTGGTGAAAATTCTCGAAAAAGCTGGTGCGGCTGAGTGGCGACCGGATCTAAGGGCTAATAAGTCAAGTTTCTTTCCCTAGTACTAGTCACAACTTTTTTCTTTCTAATATATAGTACTCATTATGAATTATACTTCATGCTTTAATCAAGTAGTTTACTCCCGCCTTGTCTACTTGTGGCTATCTATGTTTCACAAGCAGTGAATTCACATAATTCTATACGGCTGTTAAAAATCCCTTACTATATTACATTGCTACCCCTTTTTATTTTAGTGTACATTTTAAGCTCTTCATCGTTTAAAACTCTCGACGTTTAGAGATACGAGAGTAACTATATATAGTAAGTTTGGTGATATAATTGAAGAGTTGAAAGAATGTCTCTGTGGTCTCTGATATGGAAGGCTAACCTGAGCGTGTCTATACATGCTTGAGCATAATAATGCTTGAATAGAACACGTAGCGAATATCGTTGCTAAGTAGGGTATGGTCATATGAGCGAACTGGAAATAACATTATTTTGTATCCATGGTTATAGTATTTCATTTGATCTATAATATCTAGTTTCCATGAAACTATCTTTCAATACAATTCAGCCCTATGAAACTGGAACAGACTATATATAGATTAGCGTGCTCGAAAGCGGGCCCTTAGGAAAGAATCTCTGTGTTCAAATAGTGAAACTGGATAGCTTGTTTCACACTTAGGAGGTCAAAATTCCTTTTCTTTTTCATAGGTCCCAAAGACGTGTTTTTCATAGTCAGTTGTTTCAGGTTCTATACTTGCAAAGCTTTAATACTACGAGGAGCAAAGCTTCAGCGCTGTAGCCCTCTCGCTTGGTCTTCTGAGTCTTACAAAAATCTAATCTTCAAAGATCAAGAACTAGTTACGAAAGCATTTTTATGCCTAGCCTTTAGTATTTAGTATCATTCAAATCACTAGAGTAGTACTAGTCTATTAATCCGCTACCGGGCTGTACCTTTTATCTCTATAACGTACGTCGGATATTAAACTAGACTCGTTCGACCTCAATAACATGAGACGCTATACGATAAGTGCGTTCACCTTTTGAAAACATCTTTATCAAAATTTCAGCTTTTTAGTCTAGAAGCTAGCCTACTAGAAGTGCTAAGTTTAATTATAATATATTATTTGCCGCAAGAATCAATTCCTACTAGTGGCCTTTCAAGAGATTCCACGTTTAAGTGTATAAAATCCCTCAACCTCAAGATAAGCATTTCTTACTAGACAGACATTCGTCTTTAGCTTTAGTACTTATTACAAATTAAACACTATAAGTGATATAATAATACTATATATTCTTCTTTTCCGATCAGCCGGGTTATTTATTTATCTATTTAGCTACTTTTTTTTATTAAATGACTTTGATTACTTTATGGCACAAGACGAGAAAGGCCGCCACAAACGCCCACGGACTATCTGGCTAGATGAAGAGGCTTTTTCTAGAGAGAACCCGGCGCTGGAATCTCTGGACTCCCATGATCGGTCATCACAGCTACCTCAAAGCGATACAGGAGGATCTACGTCTAGTTCAGCTCAATCACAAATCATTCAATCAAGAGCACTAATACGTCAAACTGACCTAGACCCATGGGAGGCTTTCGAGCCAATTGCTGAAATCACTCGAGTGCACTCTCTACTCCTCGCTCGACGGAAGAACCACAAAGGAAGACTAGTTCATATCCAACAAACAAAACAGCACTCCTCCGCCAAGTCCACTTTGGATACTACAAATATCCTTTCTCATCCAAGTTTTCTAGGTTTACTAGAATTTTATCAACACAACGGGCTCTATTCTCTGATATGGGAGCCGACAGAAGTAACTCTTAGCCAGATCCTGGCCTCAAAGTGCGAGATAACAACTGAGGAAATCATTGCAATCGTGAAGCCTGTGAGATGAATCCTACCAAGTACTAGATCTAACAAGTTCAGAGAACTAACAGCAGGAAGACTCTAGAAGGAATCCAATACCTATTCACAAAGGGCTGGGTGCTTGCCACCTTGACCTCGGATACTATTTTCGTAACCTATTCTGGCCGTGTTAAGATAGGTAACTATCAAAGATATTTTTGAGAAATTTGATCAAGGAAGTGCTAACATTTCATTATGAAGGCGGAGTAGAAAATAGTTGCCAGATCATGTCTGATGAAATGAATCCTGCCACATGGAAAGCCTACGCATTGGCCGATATTGTGACTCAGTTAATAGGCAGAAACGGGTCCTACAAAGGCAAAGTTGACATTTCGAGTCTTCCTGACCATCTCAGGACCTTGTCAGTTGACGAGATTCTACAGGTGAGTCAGTAGTTCACGTCTTTGTGTTGAACCGGCTGACAACCCAGACAACATAGAACCCAATCTTCGCATGTGCGCTTGATCCCGGGGAACTGAAGTTACTCGTAAATTTAGCAAATAAGACCGCTTACCATAGAGTGGATTCTTACTCAACTCGCGTCTGATGATGCTAAGTTTGTTTCATTCTGAAATTATGGTACGGTATCAATAATAGACATAGGTTCTTCAAAGTCCCCAAAGAACAGATCGAAGAATGTGATTGCTAAGGCTTCATAGCTTTTTAGGATATAGAGAAGTATTTCAATAGTAGCAAAATCTGCCCTAGTCGAGCTAGATATAGCGCACTATATTTCTCCTAGGGTTTAACTATAATATCAGCATGAATAAAGCTGACTAAGTGTTCTCAATTCACAGAATCAAAAATTCAGTTTCAGTAAAGTAGATCCTTTTACAGTACTGTAACTCCGTACTGTACAGGGTTTCTCGAAATCGGCTTGACCAGAACACACTGAGACTCTTTCTCGGCCCCACTGCCAAGGCCTTAGCGCAGATCAATCATTGACCTATCCGCAATAAACTGAGGACCTCCGTAAGATGAAGTAGCTCCACGCGTATATACGATTTTCCATTCCAAAGGGCTGTTTAGCTAATTACTCCGAAACTGTAGTATATTCTCATAAGCTATCAAGAAATTACAGTTGGGCTACGATGGAGGCCCCTGCCAAGGTGCCCTAGTCCAATCCTCAAAATCATTGTCGTCCCCGAAACTCCTATCAGACTCCCAAGTGTCTTCTTCAAAATCCCCGAGTTGTTCATATGAAAAATAGTCCTTTGGCTTAGGAACTTCACTCCAAGAGTCGAGCATTTTATTTTGTTCAGCACTCCAAGGGCTTAGTGCTCTCCCTGCTCCGTGGGGTTGGTATTCAGACTCCTGCGATGCCGAGACTCGTTTCTGAGACTCTCCCGCAATCAAATCTGTCCAACGATTCGTTCCACAGCGGTATTTGTGATATAAGGTTGGAAGATGCTGTACATCGCCAACACAGTATGAAGCTATCTCGTTTGAAAGCGGACGTGCATTGAACACGCTGTATGAGCCTCCGTTTTCAGGATTCCATAAACTATCTCCCTTCTCTTTGCACAGTGTCCACTGGTTCCTTTCTCGTTCACTGAGAACATCCACAATGCACTTCGAGAGGCCGGATAGGAACTTTCGACTGTTTGTAGTCGGCCGAGTGGCACTTTCCATCAGCTGGACATCCCGGACACCACGAAGTTTAATCCCATAATGGGAATATAGAGCGTCCGAATCATTCCTGACGTCAAAGAAGACCTTCAAAATCTGTGGCGTCTCCAAGATGTCTTTTAAGCTCCTAAGCCGTCTCCCAGCTGTAGAAAATGCAGCGCTTCCCAGCGTATGGATGTCGATGATGTGAGGGCGCTCAAGGCCTTTCCCTGGGTAAGCCAGCACTGTCAAGAGTGACAACTTTCCGTTCCGACTGAGGCGTTCTCCCTCTAAGTCGATGTAGAGTGGGGGTTGCAGGTCTCCCATCCAAGTGTCTTGAAGTGCCACCCAGTCTACTAGATCTTTAATTCCCTGCAGGGAATCAATGAAAACAATATCTTGCACCATATTCGGAGGTTGTGCTATGAAAATCGCCTGAGTATCAGATGAGGAAACAGGTTCGTCGTAAATTCGCGTTGTAAGAGAGAGACTCTAACGCAGGCGGGAATTGGATGTTTCAGGTGGCAGTCTACCCCGCTTGCTGATTTCGAGCGGCTGTCACATGGGAGGACATTTGACTTCAATGCGGGGCGAAGAGGTGTCAGGCGTAATGACGTTTAAATGCATATACCCCCCACAGAAGCGTTGGGTACTTTTGCAAGTAATGATAAAATGTCTTCTAGAAATAGTAAGCCGGAAAAATAACATTAACTACTGTGTGTTGCCTTTGCTTACAGGAGTACCCAGGGTTGGCGAAAAGATTGGAGTACGCGGTCTTTTTTCTATTTCTAGGTGTTGGTTTTCATCGTCGCAAACTATAACAGCAAGACCTCGCCGCTTGGAATATTCTAAAGCAATCTATACAGCTCAGTATACCGGCGTTTTATTGGCGGAGGCCTGACGGACAAAATCGTGTCACTGTACTGTCGCCTAGTTTCACACAAAGCACGTACCTTTCATGGCCTTTTGGTGGTTCAGAACCGTATCCTTGCTCGTTGGACATCGTTTGTCGAAACCCCAAAATTTCCAGCCCAAACGACGGCTCCACAGGGAAAGGGGCTCCACAGGGAAGGGGCTCCATGGGGAAGAAGGCTCCGTAGGGAAGAGGGCTCCGTATGGAAGAGGGCTCCGTATGGAAGAGGGCTCCGTATGGAAGGGGGGTCCAGCAATCATAGAACTAATTAGCGGTTGTGGAGTAGGGCCCTGATCATGGAACACTGATATGATGTAGATATCATGGTTGGACGAGCGCCCTGTTAGAATAGCGGGAAGGAAGGTCCCTTATTTTGTTATCTGATCTCTTAATCCATATATAATACAGTAGTATGCTGAGCAACCGAAAACAGATCGAACAGTTCGCCTGCAGGCCAACCTTTGTCTTTGTAAAAGGTACAATACTTGAATAAAATACCTCGCCTATCGATGCGCCTTCAAGGCCTCTGTTAATCCGCAGACATGCCTACACCGAAACAAAGATGAATTCTGGCTATTCCTTTTCCTTGTTAGAGAGAACTAAGCTATAATTCCACTCGAATTTGAGCGGGTGATTTTAAATGATAATATAATAACAATACTGTAGCATTCACTCATAGGTGGAAATAATCCCACTATATTCTCACTTATCGTACACCTAGTCTTTTTCCCAGCGCACAATGTCACCTGTCTTTCCAGCACTAGGGATCGCCTTCACCGGAGGACATTTGTATATCTCCAAAATAGTCTGCCATCTTTTCTTGTCACAAACAAGATACATAGTGCAAATCGGACTGATCTAGCTTCGTTTCGATAGAGACCCTCCTATACCGACAATATGGGGGCTCTGTATATCCCAGATCTTCTTCTCGGAGGCAAATGAATACTTTGTCAGCACTGTCCTTTTGACGAATAGTCTCTGCAAAGTCCTCTTCGAGAGTTGAATAGACTCTCCACATTGTATCATATCTTCTATATGGAGTATAATTTCGGGGATTTTTGATTTTGCGTAACTTATCAGGGTTTGTGAACATTGTTTCCGGGAGAATGATTTTGTGCTTTACCTTGTTGTAGCGATACCCTTCCCGAAGAGAGTCAAATAGAAGGTTCTGGGAATATTGAAGATCTCCACCCCAATCATTCATCGATAAAAGAACGTGATAACGCTGCGAACCCTTGTAGCCAGGCTTTCCAATCGCATCTAAGGTCGGGCTAATCAAAACAGGACAGGCTCCTAGGCTGAATGCCTTATTTATCCATTCATCGCTTTTGAAGATCACTCTCCATAATATGTTTGCTTGTTTTTCGCCGTAGAAGAGAGCATCGGCTAATTTCTTTGCATAGTTAGGCGACAGTCTTTCCACGATATGGTCGAAGACTTCTCGAGGAATTTCTTTGAGTTTAGGTATTTTGGATGGAATCTTTGGCTAATTATATCTCTTCACATGTAAATAAAATCAATTACTTAAACATAGAGCTAGATAGTAGAGTACAGCTCTCTATGTTTATTTCTGCTTGTAATGTCACGGAATCTTCTTGAAGATACTTGCCTTTTGTGTAACTCCGACTCCTGTCATTCCAACTATTTCTGAGGTCTGTGTTGAAATAAATAATCCTCAAATTTTATAGTAGAGTCAAAATCTAGCTTTCCCTCGTTTGTGCTATTATTTCATCAGGAAATGTCTCCGTTTTCTGTTCGCAGCACAGATATGCGTCCGGCATCTCGAGCCAACAAAGTGCTGACCAGGAGGATTGATTCTCCCTTCAGGTTCTGCGGTCCCTCGAGTAAATGCACGCCTCCTTTACTCACAACTTCAAAACAGAAAGGTTTACTGAGAGAATATTATCACTTCGGTGTCGTTCTTTGGCTCCGTAAATCGACTCAGGCCCCTACCCAGGGCTATCTTTTGATAGCCCTCGGCAGCCACCACTTACAGTACATTCTTGTATTGCACTGTATAGTTAAAGAGCTGTTACAGATTCTGCCCTAACGAACAACCTTTTGAACAAGCCCGAAGGGAATATACCATAGCACTCTATAGCCTGCGGAGTTCAATGGCTCCAAGAGCTTATTGTCTTATATTAAGAGTGATCTTTTATATCTATAAGGTTTGATAGCATATAGGTCCAGGTAGAGGCTTACTCAGCACGCGTCCTGTTCTCTTGGTAATACTGGCACAATAACGTGGAAGCAAGATTTCATACAAAAATGTCAGCAAGTGGCTATCTACCTATATCAGGGGGAAAGAGAAAAATGAAAGAGTTTGAAGATATAGGACTGTGCCAGCTAAAAGGTCCACAGAATGTCCTTCGAGAACATGAGCTTTAAGTGACTGTATGGAAAATAGGAAACTAGACTTATAGAAAGATGTTCCCATATTGATAACATAGAAGTTATATTTAAATAGACCTGGCTATGTATCATGATAAGCTAGTCAGGATCACATATTCGTATAGTGACACTGGAGCTCAGTGCCACGCATTCGCGAGGGATAAGTTCCGAGCTGCCACTATACGCTTAGATCTCTGAGCCCATCTGAACCTTACCAGCGATGACAGAGCGACGCAGGAGAAATTGTGGTCGCAACTAGTATCGTCGCCGACATCGTCCTCCAAGCCTCCCTCGAAGAAGTGATTGAATAGGCCCTAGCCGTAGTCGAAGGAGAAGTAAAAGAAGGGCCTCCGAGACATGCTGGTTCGTTTTGATCCGCAGCGTAGTGCAGGTCTTCGCTCACTTGGACGTTATTACCTGGAGAAGGGAAGCGAATATCGACATTCTCTTTTGTAAGACACCCATTAATATTGGCAATAAACAATGGCGGAAAGGAAGACAAGCTGTTTGGCCGGCTTTCAGAGACACTCTCGGACGATTCCGAAACTATAGTGATAGGCGCACAGTTCATGTACATCTCCCGATTGCCTAAGCGATTAAACCAAGTCCACGCCAAGGTATATTTGCCGGGGCTCATAATTTTGGGAATTTGGAAAGACAGGCGGAGAGGATTATCAGACAAAGGTCCACCATCCATGTTTCCTGAAACATCCGCCGGGCAGCCCCCTTCGTATGATTTGATAACCTTCCATTCCGAATCTTTAGTAGGGGGCCGATCGCTCGTCAAGCTTACTTGACAGGAGCCACCGCCATGAGTTGCGCTCCCCTGTAGTTTGATATCATAGTTTCCGTCAGGGTGGTAAATGGCTTCTTCAGGAGGCATTTGAAAGCCATTTGGTCGCAGCTTACACGGGAAGTCACTTCCATCCGCAGCGAGGGGAGAGTTGTTTAATGTGTCTTTGCCGTAGGGTGGTGGATCTAGAATCGTCAGATGGGCGTGAAGAAGAGTCCCGAGAGGGATTAAGAATATAAATAGATTCATCCTTAGGCGGAAAGAAGGTAGGGACCCTCTACCAAAGCATCGGTCGGATAGACAATATATTGACTTTATCTATTCATAACATCTTTCTCGAGTGCGCTATTGTAGAAATAAAATCTTGCGGCCCACATTATATACTTCACAGAATATGGTAAGTGATACTATACGATAAGGAGCTAACTCATTTTTTTTTGAGTCATCGGTCTAGGAGCAGTTCATACGTTTTTTGAGACTTTTGAGTTAATATTAGTATCCTTTCAACCTCGATAATAGGGATAACAAAGCTAGGAGATATTTCAACTTTGAAAAAGTCGAGCTGATAATTCTAAATCAAATCCTCAATAAACTTTACAACTCTGAATAGAAATCTATAAGTATCCGAGCTTTAAGATTATAGTGTGGTTCTTTATTCGGCAGCTTACTATAAGAATATAGCCTAATATTGTACAGTAGTATTCGAAATCAGTTATACCTCTATACTCTCTTGACTTGTTTCCCGGAAATTATATCCGGGAAACGCTAGCCCCTATTAGAGCACCGCTCTATTTGACTGGCAAAACGGTATAGGTATTTGCTCGGCTAAATCGATACTAGTCATCGTGCTAGCACGGTTTTCCTCGTGTCTTATAGGGGTAAATGTAAGTTACAGATACTCTTTCGGCAAGCGGTCTGGAAGCCCGGGGTGCTAATGGTATCCAATCAGAACTCTGCAGCTCTCGGGATTAGTTTCCGACAATCAAGTCAAAAGAGTGAAGAGGTATAACTGATTTCGAATACTACTGTATAGGATTAGAGATACTGTAGACACTAGAAAGGTTCATTTCGAGAAGGAGTATGATACGAACGTACTCTAGGCAGCGAGCTATCAAGTCGGGCCTTCGATTCGGTCTTGGAGCAGACAAAATCCCATCCGGGAGTAGTATGAGTAGTCCACGAACTACGATGAGTGGCGGCCGGCCAGATGACAAGAGGATACAGAGACTGACCATCGGCGGATATGTATTCTATCGCCGTGATCAGGGTCCGCTTCACCGTGGTCCCTCGATGCTTTCTCAAATCGTCTTTGCTGACGAGCACCTTAAGGGAGTTGAGAACACTGAGAAGAACTCCCGTCTCGTCCATATTATAAACACTCTCTGGGAGGATGGCCGGATTAGCTAACTCTCGGCCAATGATGGCAAACCAACTCAAAAACTGATCCTACGATTACAATAAGCTCAGTTCAGGCCTCCACGATGTACGCTATATCTTTCATATCCAAATACTCCTTTTTCAAGCTCCAAGTGGCCATCAGAATCCCCTCCTCAATATTGCCATCGTTTTCGGATCGCTTGGTATACCTCAGGAGGCCGCCTATGTAGGCATATTCATATTATCTCTCCTTTCTGCATAGCAACAGGTATAGTACTATATTCCACTATTAGATCTCAGTTGTCATTCCTCGCCCGAGATCCCGGTGAATAGCCAATAGCCAATTCGCGGGATATCAATGCTATGAGCAAGTTTGCCACTATCCACGAACACTGGTCGACGCTGTACGATCCAGGCTCTTTCACCTGAAGCCCAATAAATTGACTGAAGCGAAATCTCTTAGCACCGAGAGTCAAAGTCTCCCTCTCGGGGCAGCCAATCCACGGAGCCATCCAGCAAGGATATTGATTGGTCCACTGCCCGCCAGGTAAAACTTGATGATAATGGTATGCTAGCGCATCTAATTCATCAGACGTGAGGAGAAAAATTGAAATCACGTTGTGCGGGAATCTTGGATGGACCTCCCCGGTTTCCATCGACACTAAAGGCTGCAATGGTGTTTCCATGAAGTCCAGTACCATAGAAAAGGTTGGATGCGGCTGGGCTACATCATATTGAGCTCTGGCCAACATCTTCCTGGTATACAGCGCGCCAGGAGATGCGCGGAATCTTACCGATACTATTGCAATCTATCGGCTCTATATAGATTAGGTCTCTATGTTTGGAATCTGTCGAGGAGAAGCTATTGGATACCGCGAGGACCCACATGTCCTGCCGTGCATCCCGCCAATATACGTAGGAATACTTAGAACCCAGCGCTGTAAAAAATACTCCTCGCTTAATTGCCTCGCTGTAGAGGGGCTATAACAACGGCGAAGCTCAGCCTTAGGAAACCCTCATCGGATAATACATACATCGATTACTCGTTCATCGAAGCGCCTTCTACCTCTTCTTACTGCATAGGGAACAAAAACACCGTAGCTATGCCGGCTATATACAAATTTATTAGAAAATTTAGTTTATAATCTTCGTGCTAGCACTTTGCGGAACGAATTTCGGGACTATATTGCAAGTAACGTACGACGACAGCATAATAAAATACTATAGTGCGGGCGATACTTCGATCCGCTCAATCCTAAAATTGCGGCCGATTCTCGACCTCGGAAATAAGCCCTTTTCGTTTTTCCAACTGAATAAGTTATGTGTTGCCTCCCCAACCGCTCTCCGCCTAATAAGGATACCGTGGAAGATATAGCCGAAAGGATTTAATGCTTTCTATTTATTGCTTTCTCCTCTATGAATCTGTCGGCTTAACTTGCTAATTTGTACGAGTCTGCTACACGCGAGATATAATGTACTGTAGCTATCTCGTATAACACGCTTCTAATTTTAGGGCCTCTGAACAGGTGCCTACCTAGTCGGCAGGAGTTCACTTTCCTGTCACGCAACCAGAAATGTTTGATCCTATAACAGAGTATTCCAAAATTGTACTTATCCAAAGCGGAAAGCCCGGGAACGTTAGCCAGCTACTTTTTTCAATCCTTAATCTACTTTCCTTCACAATAAAACCACCTTTTTGGTGGTTCATTTGACGTTCTACAGGTATACCTCCCAGGGCGGGCGACGAGCTCCCACCTCCACGTGGTGCCCGCTGGGAACTCTCAGAGAAACAGTTTGGCTGTCTCTGAGTGCCAGGAGGAGCTCAACAACGCGATCTTCCCCCGTTTCACGACGCGCTGACGCGCCGAAAACCGAGTCTCCGAACCTCACGAAACACCCAACCTCACAGAACCAGTACAGAGAGGAAGTCGTGCCCCCTCACACGTCCACCCCCACGATGGAGAACGGATCTTGTCACTCCGTCCGTCCTGCCCGACAACGGTTACGGTTTGGAGATGAATGATGACACGCTGGGCTCAGGGCAGAGATGGTTGGTTCATGGGCTCAACATTTGGACACCGCAATAACAACGACACCAACAACACCACCAACAGTTCAGAGATTCAATTCTATCCTTATAGTATTTTGCAACTTCACAGTTGACTTGCGTCCCAACAGATTTTCGTGCCAAGACGCGCGTCAGACACGTCTTCCTGTCACGAAACATCTACGTGGCCACAAATCAACACGGACCTAGAACACATCAACGGGCAAGCCACAAACACTTCCACTACCACACGCATACGGTAACATTGGCACTCAATGTAGCGTACCTCCAAACATACTGTACAGAACGAACCACTGCAGTCTCTACAGGATGGGCCCTACCGGCAGCCCATCCACGGTGCTCAACTTACCGCAGACGAGTGATTTTGTCAAACAGAAGCAGAAAGGGGCAGGAAAGGTCTAACTAGTCATGGATACAGAACAAATATTATAACTATGAATATGGTGTAACTGCAGGAAGCAGGAGAAGGAGGTCACTTTGGTCAGAGCGACTCATTTTCGAATGCAGGAAGCAGGAAGGCATGTATTGATAGTTGAACGCGCTGCATAGCTGCTAATTGGGCGGCTGGGATAGTCTATGAATAAATCAATCAATCAATCAATCAATCAATCAAGCTACAATAACCCGCGGTCCTGGGAGGTTATAATGAGCCGAACCCTTAACACCCCTATATATGACCTTCACGTTCACCGTTCCCCCATAACTGATCAGCCCTATCTAGCAGAACAGCAGCTTTGTGCTTGGAATATAAAACCCTTTGCAGTATCTGAGGTAAGAAGATTGAGTTCAAAATATGCTACGGCTATTTTCTGCTTGATCAATATATTCACAAAGCTAAACGACCAATAGGTTTCTCAGTTTACACCTAATGCTACAGTATGTCCGATACGGTTATGACTACTATAGCTCAAATGGATCAACTAGAGCTAGTTCCATTGTTGTCGACGAGGACGACGAGCAAAAGCCAGACGAAGATAACTCGGAAGCCGATACAGTTCGCATAATACACCAGATTACGAAAGATAGGCCAGAGAGAAAATTGTCCCATCAAATTACAGAATTTGTTCCTTAGGGTATCTACTCCGGCTTCAATATTTCTGAAGTATCGCAGCTGCCGGAAATGGGACTATACTTAAATTGCTCAATCAGGTTCTCCTATAGCGGGAGGAGAGTCAAACAACATAGGAGTTTTCAAAAAGGGTACATAGATAATTTCGTAGTCATAACCGAGAGGAATTACGAGCCAATATTTCGAAACGACGATCAATACGTTCAAAGCTAAAAGAGAGAATATAGTGACGAGACTAGCAGATTCCATCTTCGAAGAAGTCGTCTGCGTGTTGCTCTAGATGACTTCAGTTGGTACTAGATCGAACACGGCTTATGAGCTATGGAAATGCAACGTATGATTAGTTCTCTGTTACAGTACTCCTTTCTCCACTTTGGAGTAGTGTGGTAGGGACCAGAACCTTTGTGACGAAATTAGAAAATAAAATAGGACGCTTCAATTTCGTATAATGCAAGACGCGCAGCGGAAATTCTCTTCTAGATACTCTCCACTTAGTAATCTTACGTTAGAATCTTTCGCACAATGCCGACCAACGCTCGCAAAACGTCATATTCGTTAGGCCGTTTCACCATCTCATCGCTGACTAATCTCGCAATAACGAGGGACCCAAGACATCCAAAAGAATCTAAGTGATGAACTATTCCCTTAGAACAACCAGTGTTGGGTCGATATAGCAACAAGGATGGTCCAATGTATTGTTAGTCAGCTTCACAAAGTTCGAGAAACCCCCTCCTTGCGTTCTCAGAGGATGAATGCAGGACGTACTGCTCTTGCTGAGCAGCCACGCGAACGAGAGGGTCGAACGGCATTATAGGCTTAGTGGCTTTCACAGAAACTCTCCATGAGGTGCAGCTATCAGTCCCAATATCATCTTGGATTACTTCCCACTAGAGGCGGACGTTTGCGGGACCACCAGGTTCTGAGACCAGCAATTGGTTTCTACGGTGCCGGGCGCTTGAAGTGTAATAGATGATTGGTTTTAAGAGATTTTTATTTCTATCAACACTCTCCCAACTTAAATGTCTTCCGTTTGAAAAAAGGTCTGTATAGCCCTATAAAACAGCTGAGGAATTTTAGATAGACCTCGGCATGACCCTCGCGAGGGTCCAAGACTCAGACCCTCGACCCGACCCTCGCGAGGGTCGGGTCCAAACCTCATGAGGGTCACCCGACCCGCGACCCTCGCCTACCCTGATGCGGGTGACCCTCAGCGACCCTCAGTGTCATATGATATTGCAGCGTGGAGCTATTCCCAACTTCACGCCTCAGGTGTTAGTTCGACACCTTACCGGTCAGGCTTCGTCATAACAGCCCCACTTCTCCCCAACATGGATGCATGACCTACAAGGCCCTGAGGGTTCGGTGCCCTTCCATTAGGGATTCGTGAACCCCTCTTCTCTGTAGCCTTTGCTTACCTCTATCACATGGGGGCCACGTCAGACCGCATGTTATAATGTGATCCATCGTCTTTGCTTGGTCATGTGGGAAAAGTGTTGAAGCTTGTACATAAATTGAGGATTATGGAGAGATCCATGATAGCAAGAAACAGTGTTTTGCTTTCCTTACTTGACGTTTATCTTCCTACCTAGTCGACAGGCTTTCTACCCTGTACAAGTAGTTATTCTCTAACACGTCGCGAGGCTTCCGCTCTTAAAGTAATACTAATAAAGATATAGATCGAGGCCGTCCCGTTAGCTTCTAGGGATCTAATGTTTTTTACGGAAGTGAACGCTAGCCTAGGAGCTCTTAGTTAGGATCGCGTATCGACAGAGAGTACAGATCGCTATATATTCCCCCTAGTCGAGATAGAGAGGAAGGTAAGGCTATTCCGGGGAGGATCCTAGATAGCGGGATAATATCGTAGAATACGATAGTTGTGATTCGAGTATAGCG